TTGCTTCCACGAGAGTCGATGGTTGCTTCCACGAGAGCCGATGGTTGTTTCCACGAGAGCCGATGGTTGCTTCCACGATAGCCGATGGTTGCTTCCAGGAGAGCCGATGGTTGCTTCCACGAGAGTCGATAGTTGCTTCCACGAAAGTTGATTGTTGCTTTCACGAGAGCCGATGGTGGATTCCATGAGAACCGGTGGTGATTTCCACATGAGCCGATGATTGCTTCTATGCAAGCCGATGGTTACTATACTGTAATTCTTACTTTTGCCACTACTACTTGACACAAGGAGACTGAACATAATCTTTATGGAAATATCTGTCCAGAAATCACATTAAACATGGAAGAGTGGCAGGAACAATAAATGTTGCAAAGAAAACTTTAATTAGATACAAAGAGACTTTCTGCCGTAAACGTCGCTCCGCCCTATAAGTCGCATCAGTCCATATTTGTCTAATAAAGTGGGAAAAATCCATAAATATGTCGCTTCGCCATATACGTTGCCGTTCAGCTACTTCTACTCTACTTCCATCAAGTGGCTGAAAGTGGTACTACTAATTTTTTTTTTTCAGTCAGAATGTATGAAAATATTCATATCTCAGCCAAAAAATGGTTTATAAATATGGGCCACTCTGATTGAATGATTGGGGTGACCAGTTTACATATATGCATATATGGCAGCAACCATCTTGGACTTTGACTTGGCTACTTGATTTTTGATGGTGGCCTTTGATAAGATGCATTCGCACCAGAATCAGTACCTCATTTTTCAAGTTATGTTCACAACATGCATGGACAGACGTACGAAGGGTATTTCCAATTTCCAGTATTTGCTCCGCGATGGGGGACGAAAAACGTTTTCATTTCAGATTGTGAGGCAACATATTAAAAAGAATTCCCAAGAACCACGTTTGTTTTGTATTTTAATTTAAATATGTTCGTAAGTTTGACAAGTTCTCTTTCGAACCTCTGAGCAATTTAATTTAAAGCAATGAGCAATCTAAAGCGGTATAAGGAGGCCTTCTGGTACAGATGAGTATTACAGTGAGGAGGAACGACATCCAGCAGAGCCAAACAAATCAGTTTGTCCCGTTGTTTGTGTGAAGTATAGATGCAGTGTGTCCTTACCAAACCTGTCTGTTTTGGTTGTACAGAGCCCGAGAAGCTTTGCGGCAGTGCCTTCCCGACCAGCTCAAAGACACCACTTTTGCTCAGGTGCTGAAGGACGACACGACCACCAAACGCTGGCTGGCCCAGCTGGTGAAGAACCTGCAAGAGGGCCAAGTCACTGACCCCCGAGGGATCCCCCTCCCCCAGCAGTGACAAGATGCTCACCCTTTTCTTCCTGATCCACGCACACCCTGAGGAACACCAGCAAGAAACTGCCAAAACAACAAGCCTTTAAACAGTTTACAAGACTCACAGTTTGATTATTCTTGTAAAGACTGCTGCGTCAGAGACATTGGATTCAGCCGCCTCGCCTCGTAGTCCTGGTCCGGTTTCAGAATCTGTACAAAGTTGTACTACATGTAACAGCGTCAGCAGATTCGCTCTGGTGATGTAACACTGCCATGTTACAGAGAGATCTGTGTACTAATAAACTGGTGGAATGTGGCCACAGGCATGTGTGATGGATTTAAAGTTCAACAACACAAAGAATGAACTACTTTCAAGTATTTGGAGCGTGCCGATTCAGCTACTACTCAAAAGTACCGTATTTTCTGGCGTATAAGTTGCTCCAGAGTATTAAGTCGCATCAGTCAAAATAAAGTATCATGACGAGGAAAAAACACAAAAGTCACATTTTTTATGCGTCACCGCTGAACCGTTACGTTTATTCTGCATTTATTTAATAGTCAAAACAGCTTCATTTTGCCTGGGCGGCGCCGTCCATCGTGGCTGGAGCCTCTAGCTCTCCAGCGTTCCTCCACCTGCACCAGCTGAGTGAAGTGAGTGTTTACGGGAGGACTTGCTGTTGCAGTTCTTCGAAATTTAAAGCGTCAGTCAAAAATTGCGTTATCCATCCATTTTCTTCCGCTTATTCGGGTCGTGGGGATAGCAGCTTAAGTAGGGAGGCCCAGACTTCCCTCTCCACAGCTACTTGGGCCAGCTCCTCCGGGGGAATCCCAAGGCGTTCCTAGACCAGCCGAGAAACATGGTCCCCCCAGGGCGTCCTGGGTCTCCTGGTGGGACGTGTCTCGAGCATCTCACCAGAGAGACATCCAGGAGGCATCCTAACCAGATGCCCGAGCCACCTCAACTAGTTTCTCTCAACGTGGAGAAGCAGCGGCTCTGCTCTGAGTCCTTCCCGTATGATCGAGCTTCTCACCCTGTCTCTAAGGGAGAGCCCAGACACCCTGCAGAGAAAACTCATTTTGGCCGCCTGTATCCGTGATCTCGTCCTTGCGGTCACAATCCAAAGCTCATGACCATAGATGAGGGTAGGAACGTAGATCGACCGGTGAATTGAGAGCTTCGCCTTTTGACTCGGCTCTCTGTTCACCACGACAGACCTGTACAGCACCCGCTTCACTGCAGACGCTGCATCTATCCGCCTATCGATCTCACACTTCATTTTTCTCTCATTCGTCAACAAGACCCCAAGATACTTAAACTCCTCCACTTGGGGCAGGACCTCCTCCCTGACCCGGAGAGGGCACTCTACCCTTTTCCGGCTCAAGACCATGGCCTCGGATTTGGAGGAACTGATCCTCATTCCGGCCGCGTCGCACTCGGCTGCAAACTGCTCCAGCGAAAGCTGTAGATCATGATCTGATGAAGCCAATAAGACCACATCATCTGCAAAAACCAGAAGCGATCCTAAGGCCACCAAAACGGATCCCCTCAGCACCTTGGCTGTGCCTAGAAATTCTGTCCATAAAAGTTATGAACAGAATCGGTGACAAAGGGCAACCTTGACGGAGTCCAACTCACTGGGAACAAGCCCGACTTACTGCCGGCAATGCGGACCAGGCTCTGACACCGGTCATACAGGGACCTAACAGCCTGTACCAAAGGGCCTGGTACCAGATACTCCTGCTGGAGTACCCCCACAGGGTTCCCCGAGGGACGCAGTCTTAACGCCTTTTCAAAGTCCACAAAGCACATGTAGACTGCGTTATGAATATGGAAGAAAAAAACTTTAAGTCGCAGGACTGACAAATCTATGCAAAATAACCTGTGACTTATACGCTGGAAAATACGGTAATTTGAGACTATTTGCAACAGTCTAAGCTGACAAAATTGTTGATGCTTTGATGCATACACTGTAAAAGTTTAAAGCGAAAGAAAAATTAAAGCTGCTGCCAGTAGCTTAAGGTTTCCATGGTAACCACACGGCTGTGGCACTTTGAACAAAGCAGGCAGACTGAAACAGCAAAAAGTAAGCCTCAGGGGAAAAAAAACGTTCACAGTGAAACTAAAAGTCACTGAAAACTCACTGCGAGAGGCACAGTGGGTGAAAGGAGAAGACAAAAGCCCACATTTTGATGTATAAATTATGTAAGGGGTAAGGTAAACAAAAGTTTAGACAGCTCTAAAGTTGGTGTGTGTGTTTGAGTTGGATCAACACGAAGACGGATGAAGCAACTCCTTTAACTGCCATTGTTCCAAGGTGTTCAACCCTGGTCTCTGAGGTCCACCATCCTGCATGTTTTACTTGTTCCATGCTTCATAACTCCTGATTGAGTTCTGCATTAGACTGTTAATCCCATATTGATTCAAATCCAGTGTGCTGGAGCAGAAAAACCTCTAATATCCAGGATAGTGGCACTCAAGGACCAGGGCTATACAACATAAAAATGGTTTTTGGTTAAATATGCCGCCATGTTGTATTTTTTTCTAATATTTTAACTAAGCATTTAGGGCCATACCCCCAATATGATAGTCCCACGGGGACACACTCAACTTGCTAGTCAGCTGTAACATAATCAGTCACAGTGTATCATGACACTTTTTAAAGTCAAAACTGATTAAAACTAAAATTCTATGTATATACTGTGTGTATATATATATATTATTATTTTTTTTTTACATATGTGGCGTAAAAATAATAGCCATGTCTTTGTGCAACTAAATTTTCTGTGGTGACCCCTGACGAAGGAAGTAGCCAAAAGAAGAAGAAAATAATTAATATATACTATATATACAGTAACATTATTTATCTTTTGTGTTGCCAAGTTTCGCGTTTGTTCTGATTCTCGTACCAGTTTTAGCTTCAACGAATTTCAGAAAGTCGTTGAGCGTTCGCACTCTTTTTACAGATACATGTCATTTTTGCAGTTTCATAATTTTTTTTTTTCTATCATACCCTCATCACCATGTGTGGTATAAATGATGGGGCGTCATTATTTGGAGGTAACTGCTGGTTCCCCTTGTTTTGTGTTTCAGATTATCATAGAGGGGAGCGACTGTTCGTTTTAGTCTTGGCTCAGTTTGTGAAATTTGATGTGGTAAGCTGAGCTGAAGCTGTGGATTATTGATGCCTCTGAACTTTGGCAGGGAGCTCAGGTAAAGTCAGCTGACAGAAGTATTTTTAATTTAAATTTTTTAATGAACCGAGTGGATTTGAGGAGGAAAATGCGTTCTTTCATACAAAAGTAATGAATGTAATGCTTCGTATGGGCGTCTGGAAACGGAACACTTGTTTAGTGAATCCCCATGTTTCTGTCCTCACAAGCCTGCTGCTAAACCTGATCAATGTTTGATGAGCAGGTCTCAGTAACTTTAGATGCATTTAAAAAAAAAAAAAAAAAAATACATGGCGGCTGTCTCTGCACTGGATGTCTGCTGGTCTTCCTCTTGGCACAAAGCGATGGAGGTGGTCCTGTGCCAGATATGGAAACGATGATCTCAGTGTGACCGTCCACTGGAAAACATGGGGAATGACAGCTGACTGTTTTGGAAAGTGTCTGCCGACTTTGGTAGACATAACAGTGACATAGTTTTGCCATGTTTTTATTTAATGAGTCGTAAGGTGATAAATGTATGAAAACCCTATGAAATCAAACATTGATCCTGAACTAAACCAAATGGTGCAGTTCGAAAGGGAGTAACCCAGATGTACTAATAAGCAATGCTGAAATACTGGTCCACATCTAAACAAAGTATGTTTTTTCTGCATACTTTACCCAGTGTGGCTGAGCATGAATACACACAAGTCCATAAAAATGGTTGAACTTCTCTTCCATGCATATCACCATTGTTGAGTCACTTATTTTCATCTACTTCCATAGATAAACTCAGGTGGTAGTTTGACTGGTCTTCATGACATTGCAATGAATACCTTAATGCATAAACTGTCTTCTTCTTTCGGCTGTTCCCTCTTCAGGGGTCACAGCGAGTCATCCTCCATCTCTGTCCTCTGCACCCTCGGTCCTCACTCCAACTACCTCCATGTCCTCTCTAACTGCATCTCCTCTTTGTCTTTTTCCACACAGCTGCATTTCTAACATCCTTCTACCAGTATACCCACTGTCCCTCCTCTGGACATGTACAAACCATCTCAGTCTGGCCTCTCTAACTTTATCTCCCAGTTGTTCAACCTGTGCTGTACCTCTGATGATCTCATTCCTGATCTTGTCACTCCTAAGGAGAACCTCATCTTCATTTCTGCCAGTTCTGTTCCTGTCCTGTCTTTTTCTCCATAACATGATCACAAACCACTGCATCGACCTCTCCGCTCTAACCCTGTCAGAAAAACAAAGAGTCACTAATCTGGGCGTGATAATGGACCCTTCCCTGAAGCTTAACAATCATGTAAACATGATTGTTAAATCATGTTTCTTTCAACTGAGGCGGCTGTCTGAACTGAAGCCCATATTGTCCAAAAATAACCTGGAGACAGTAATACATGCATTCATTACATCTAGGCTTGATTACTGCAATTCGCTCCTGTTTGGTATCAGTCAAACCTCCGTTGCACGACTACAACTGGTCCAGAATGCAGCAGCCCGATTTTTAACCAGTACAGGCAAAAGAGAGCACATTACACCAGTTTTGGCCTCACTGCACTGGTTACCAGTTCCCTTTCGAATCCAGTTCAAAATACTCATGTATGTCTACAAATCACTGAACAGTGCCCCCCCCCCCCCCATCTCTCTGATCTGCTACAACCGTATGTCCCACCACGTTGCCAGAGGTCAGCGGACCAGTTGCTCCTCACAGTTCCAGGAACTCGTCTTAAGCGCAGAGGTGACAGGGCCTTCTCTGTAGCAGGACCAAGACTTTGGAACGAGTTACCTCTGCTTGTCAGACAGGCCCCCTCCCTCTCGGTTTTCAAGTCCCGTTTAAAAACTCACTACTATTCAATAGCTTTCAACACCAGATGATCTGTGTTTTGATCCTGTATGATCCACACTGGTTTGTCGTCATTATCTGCATCGTTTTTATGTCTTTATTCTGATTTACCTCATTTTGTATTTTGCTTTGTGTGTTGCCTGTTGTTCTGTCTGTACAGCACTTTGGTTGGCCTTGTCGCTGTTTTAAGTGCTGTATAAATAAAGTGGTATGGTATGGTACCACTGTCCATACAACATAGCTGGTCTCACTATAGTCATAAACTTTTCCTTTGCTGACACAATTTTGTCACAAATCATTCCTGAAACTTTTCTCCATCCACTCCATCCTGCCTGGACTCCCTTTTTCATCTCTTTAGCACTTTCCCCTGTTTTTCTGGACAGTGGACCCTTAGTACTTGAAGTCCTGCACCTTTGTGACCTCTGCTCCTTGAGGTCTCCTTTCCATTCACACACATACTCTGTCCGGTAGACTTTCATTCCTGTCCGAAGTGCATTTAATAGGACAGATAATCTGCTTTTAATGAGATGACTAAGATGTTGATTTCGTTATCAAATACATGTAAATCCATGTTCTAGAATTGCGCCGCTCAAGGTGGCTGCATGTTGGAGCAGCTCTGTTACTTTCATATTGAGATTTTGCTTTTAGAAACTTTAATTCCTCTTTCTGCATGTAAATCGCATTTTTTGGATGGTTGTTTCTTCTGGTGTCGGGTGCTGTGCAGCTGGAAGGATTTTTACTGAAACTTATTTAGTTTTGGACATTTGTTATGATGCGTAACCATGGCAACAAGGCTGTTTTTCTACAACCAACAGCAGCTGATTAACAACTCAAAAGCTCAAATAATATCTCAACTACAGCCCAAAATCTCAAGTGAGTTGAAAAGGATGTTCTGTGGACGCATTCTCATCTACCTGCCAGCTGTGCTTGAGTGCCTGACCACTGAGATCCTGGAACTAGCAGGAAACACGGCTCGTGACAGCGGAAGGACAGGATCGTCCCTCGGCACCTACAGTTGGCTGTCCGCAGTGACGAGGAGCACGGCGGACTGCTGGGAGGAGTGGCCATCGCTCTGGGAGGAGTTCTGCCCAGCATTCAGACGGTCCTACAGCCCGGGGGAACCGAGAGGCCAGCAGAGTCTGGGTGGACGGATCAGACGGCATCTGCAGCCAGTTTCTTAGGATCCACTGTGGAATGAACCTTTATAAGAGATCCATCCTGTCTACAGCCATCAGCGTCTATAACATCTCTTAATGAAATGAGGATAACGAGTTACTACAACAAATAATTTCCCTCTGGGATTAATAAAGTATTCTTGAATTGAATTGAATTGAATAATTGGAGCCGTTAGTTCTTAAACGTTTTATAATGAGTGCCACCTCAGAAAATGTTAAGACCTCTAGAACCAGTAGGAAGAGTGTAAATGAGTGAACTCGCCAAAGTCTAACCCACACATCCTGGTTACAAGGTGGCTTTTTCCTATCCCACAACAAGTAAATACTCATTTGCGATACTTTCAATTGAAGTTTTGGTGAAATTGCAGGCGCTTTACATCACAGTTCAACTTTAATTTATTCAACTTGTAAAAGTAGTTGCTACAAAACTGTCTTTTGAGTACCGCTAAAGGATCCCGAGTATCACCAGTGGTACTTGTATAACAGTTTGGGAGTTATTGAGCTAATAAACAATGAGAAGGTTAGTTTCTCTGTAGGTCCCAACTATACATTTACTTTGGAATAAAACAAGTGAGTTTACTAGGTTTAAGTTTTTATGCTTCCAACTTCATTTGACAGCTTTCAGGTGAGGTTCAGTAGAGGTAAACGGTAACAGCAGGGCTGAATAGAGCCAGACGGAGAGAGAAAGAGAAGAAGGGGGGCGGGGAGGGCGGTGTATATGACTCGGGCTTGGGCTGTGGGAGTTTCATCGCTGCATCGTGGCGTACAGAGAGACAGCAGCTGTGTCACACTGAGCCACGTTATCAGATGCCAGGACCAAGAGATGATCCTCCAACAGGTTCTTTATCTTTTCAAAATTCCCTTTCTGCTTTTTTTCTTTTTCACTGCTTTGGTTTCTCGTAAATCCCACTGACTAATGTTTATTGAAATATTAAATTTGTCACTATCTGTTTTAATCGACGTCTATCGTAAAAGTACCACATATTGCTGTCGAAATAAAATGCTGTTTACATTTTTTTTATATATATTTCTCGTTGGCACTGTATTTTAACGTTCTATTCCGATTTTTAGCTCAAATCCAATGTTTTTTTTTGTTGTTTTCCGTTAATTCTATAATTTAAATGCGCCTCGAACTCCCTGAGGTGACTCGCATGCACAGAAGAAGAAATGATGTCACGCACTGCACACTTTGTTTACGGAAGTAAATATGGCTGCTGCACATGTTAGGATGTGTGTATAAATTCTGAATTTGCTCAGTTATTATCCGATAGGATTGTTTTATCTAGCGTTTATATTGATCTTGTTGCTTCTTACCTATTTCACTACAGAATTGCTCTTCGGGAACAGGCAGGTTTCTTCTAACTCAAGTGTCGATCCCATCATGTAGTAATACTAACCAACACCAACGTTGGTATCGATCGAGCTGCATAAGATATGACCAGTCAGACTGAGGTCGCTTTGAAAAAACATTACGTATGCATCCAGTTTAGTTACGTGTATGAAAAAGACCTGCTAAATTCGAAACCATAAAAAAAAAAAAGTACCACATACAGTACATTATACGCACATTGACAAACTAATACATACAGCAATCTATAGCAATGGCCTGGACAAGCACAGACCTTGTATAACTTTGACCTTGATTTGTGACCTTGATGTTGAAGCTGAGGTCATAAACAGTTTATGCCACATGCTGTGTTCATTCATTCATTCAACCTTTATTTATACAAGTTAATCCCATTGAGCCTCGGGGAGTCGTTTACAAGAAAGACCTGATTTCTTTAACAAAGAGTGACGACAACAACAGACAGTCATAAAAGAGGCATACAAATTTATTTTTTACAAATTCAAATAAAATGGCAACCAAAAGGAAAAAGTATCAAACCCCCCGCCCAAAAAAATTGCTAGATTATAAAGGTAGTGTTGAAAACTTAAAAACAGGAACACGTCTGCATTGATTTTTGCCAGGAACTTAACAGATGTTTTGTAGAAGTTTGACTTTATGGGGAAGTGGCTGATCTTCCATTAGTAACTGTGTCAAATAAAGAACTAGAAGCAACAAAATGTTTGTTGAAACAGTTCAGGATTTCGCGCTTATTGGACACAGGAGCAGAGTTAACGAGAAGCTGTGATGGGAGGTCAGATGATTGGGAGCTGAAGAGAGAGATTTGATGGTTTTCCAGAATCTTATAGGATCATTGAGATTTTTGGAGCTCTGAGATAAGAAATAGTTACGTTTTGCAGCTTTGATGGACGTTGTGCATTTATTCCTCATCTGTCGAAAACTCAACCAATCAGTGTCAACAAAGTTGTCTCAGGGCACTTTACAGAAACATTGACATACATAAAAGCCAATTAGTAAAGTTATCTATCTAAGGAATCCAGCAGACAAGTTGAATCTTGGCTTCGTTGCAGTCTCCCATCCTGAGCAAGCACAGTGGCAACAGTGGAAAGGAAAAACTCCCTTTTAACAGGAAGAAACCTCCAGCAGAACCAGTCTCAGGACAAGCGGCCATCTGCTTTGACCGGCTGGTTGAGAGGACAGGAAGGAGAGAGAGATGAACACAGAATGGTAGGTCCAGGTACAGGTCCAGGTGTATCTGAAAGACAAAAAAAAAACACATGTTAAGGATAGAAAAAATAATTACACATACAAAACAGGTTGAGTAGAGTAAGTAAAAACAGTAGCAGAGTGAAAAAGTGTGGTCAGTTTGTCCTCCAGCAGTCTAAGCCTATAGCAGCATAACTAAGGGACAGCTCAGGAAACCCAAGCCGACCCTAACTATAGGATTTAGCAAAAAGGAAAGTCTTAAGCCTAGTTTTAAAACTGGATAATGTGTCAGCCTCACGGACAGAGATTGGAAGTTGGTTCCACAAGAGAGGAGCCTAAAAGATCTGCCTCCCATTCTGTTTTTGTAAATTCTAGGAACCACGAGTAAGCCTGCAGCCTGAGAGCGAAGTGCTCTGTTAGGAAAATATGGAACAATAAGATCTGTAATATAAGATGGAGCTAGGTTGTTGAGGGCTTTGTAGGTTAGAAGTAAGATTTTGAATTCTATTCTGGATTTGACAGGGAGCCAATAGAGAGAAGCTAAAACTGGAGAAATATGATCTCTCCTACTAACTCCAGTTAAGACTCTGGCAGCAGCATTTTGGATCAATTGAAGACGTTTTAAAGACGTATTTGGACATCCAGATAATAAACCATTGCAACAGTCCAGTCTAGACGTGACAAATGCATGAACCAGTTTTTCTGCATCATTTTTAGATAAGATGTTTCTAATCTTTGTGATATTACGCAGGTGGAAGAAGGCAGTTCTAGTAACGTTTTTAATGTGGGGGATAAAAGACATGTCCTGATCAAAAATAACACCAAGATTTTTAACATTAGAGCTGGAGGACAGATTAATGCCATCCAAGGAGGGAGAAAGACTGAAAAATCCAAAGGTGCTCTGGTCCAAAAACCAAAACCTCAGTCTTGTCTGTGTTCAACAGGAGAAAATTAAGGGTCATCCAGGTTTTATGTCTTTAAGACATGTTTGTAGTCTAAGTAACTGATTTGATTAATTGGATTTAATGGACAAACATAATTGTGTGTCATCAGCATAACAATGAAAATGTATCCCATGCTGTTTAATAACTTTACCTAATGGAAGCATATATAAAGTAAAGAGTATTGGCCCAAGCACCAGAGATAAATCCCAGAGGAATTACTGTTCACAAAAACGTTTTTAATCCCTTTTTTTAATTAATCTCGGCTTAGGATGTGGAAGTTTAATGTCTCTGAGAGCCGCTATTACAAAATGATCATTTAAAACGTCGGCGAAAACACCTATACCGGGGAATTTGTGAGATATATTTGTTAGAAATAGATCTAAAATGGAAGATTTTTCAGGACAGTTTTTGTTCTGTCTGCTAGGAGAGTCAATAAATTGGGACAGGCAACATACCTTGAATTTATCACAGAGGGGGTCGACTTTTCCCAGTTGAAATTAAAATCTCTGGCAAGAAATACCTCTTTGAATTGTAAATTAGCTATGAAGTCTATCAGGGATGACAGAGCCTCAGGTGTTGCTGAAGGAGGGCGGTAACAACCCACTACAGATAAGATCTGGCCACCATTCAAAGTGATGTTTACAGCTAAGGCCTCAAATTGGTATGGGATTGTTTTGGCTAACACAAGATTAAAATCCAGGGTTTCTCTGATGTAAATAGCAACCCTCCTTTTTTGACGATCACAGCAAAAAATATTAAATCCATCGATTGCCAGGTCATTATTCAAGACAAATTTGTTTTGCCAGGATTCAGAGATGAAGATTACATCAGCCCCAGAAGAATGGACCAGAATTTTCAAAGTGTCAAGTGTTCTCAAAAGACTACGTCCGTTTACATGCAGAAAATGAAGTCCTGACATGTTTTTAAAATCATTTGGTGTGCTGTAATGAGAGTGGGGTCCAGGGTTGGGTTGAATTCCTGAGAGCAGTAACAACATTATTATCAGAGATTTTCTTGTGTTTTTTGTGACAGATGTGTAATTACACGAGTTAATAGTGTGACAATTAGCCCCCATAATCGAACCATGTGAAAAGTTTTAAAAAGACATGATTACCCAGAACCCAGAAACAGTGAAGTTTGCAGGGAGAGGCAGATCCAGATGTGTTAACAAGGTTCATTGACTCCAGATAGTCAGAGATCTGAAAATGATGGGAATATTGTGACTGATGAAGAAACGTCTCAGACCAGACAGCATCATAGATCAAGTGGGCCAACGGGTCCAACATTGTGGTCCAACTGGAGTTTGAATTGGACTGAGGGGAGCACCCCTGTGAAGATGAATCCCTCAAGCTGCTCTCATGATGACCAGATGCTGGGTCCAGTATCAACAGGCAGAAGCTGATAATTCACAACAAATAGCAAAGCATGATCCTGACTAGGTTCAGATCAACAGAGGACAACAGCATAAGGAACAAAACCTTCAGCTGACCTATTCTGAACTGGTGGGCCCATATCTTATCCAGGTGAGTTTAGATGGAAGCCCAGCAGAACTCCGATGCAGACTCTGTTTTTCTTTCAAGCTGCAGCTCCTCCTCGGCGCTTCACAGCATGAGAGGCTTCCTCCAGGCGAACAATGATGAGAACTGACCGGAGAGACTGAAGTCGTCCTTGGCTCGGTTTTGTTCTGGTCCGGTTCCATCAGGTTCCTCCGCGGCCAACAGCAAATCCCACGGAGGTGGACAGTCCTTCAGTGAAAGGTAATGGGCTGCCCACTGAGGCTGAGACTGGCTTTGTTCAGGACGAGTTCACCCACAGCCTGGCTCAGTTACGTTCTGGTCCTATTCCGGTCAACTTCCCCCACACCGACTGCAGACACCCACGAGGAGCCAGTCCAACAGAAAGCAAGCAAAATACCACACAGCGATCCTGATCGGAACCAAGCAGAACCACAAAGGTCCGGATGAAAAGTTCGGTTGGGGTCCGGAGAGAAAAAAAAAAAAAAAAAAGAAAGTAGTAGTATAGTGGGGATATAAATTCCCATCAGGGATCAGAACTTATGGGCGGGACAGTGAATGGCGACTATACCGTAATACGTCTGCTTAAAGATGGGCACATAAAAGAAATATCTTTGTCACATTCAGAGGGCCATAAAAATATGTCGTGAGTCACAAATGGTTTAAAAAATGTCAAATTTGGGCCACTTTTTCTTGCCGTGTGTGAACTTAGTTGAACATTCTCTTTGGACCGAAAGATAATTGAATTTAAATGCAGTAGATTGTGTTTTAACTGGATTTGCACTGTTATAAGTTATATTAGACAAAATGAATTGGATTGAATTGAGCCTATCTTGTTTATTTAAAGCCCTGGGACAGTAATCGTCATAATTTGGTGAAATATACTGTTAATGATCGGAACTGGTTTGCAGCGCGTTCATAAAGTATATAGACAATTTTCACTTTGAGGAACTTAACGTTGTATCCTGATCCCATACCCTGGTTTCTTCAAGGTACAATGTTTAGAACGGTTTTCTGGTCTGATTTTCATCAGACCAAAAAATATTTACAGTCTGAATCTTTCTTGCTATTTTCAGGTGTTTAGCTCTGAGGAGAAGCTTCCATCCAGCCACTTTGCCATAAAGCCCAGATCAGTGAATGCCAAAGATTTGGGGAACCCCATCTTTTTATAGATTCTTTGAAGTTCAGTCATAGTGACCATCTGATCTCCTTTCTCATTAAGATTCTTCTCTCTTGGTTGCTCAGTGTGGCCAGGAGACCAGCTTTTGGAAGAGTCCTGGTTGTCCCAAACATAAGAATTTTGGAGGCCACTGCTCTTGGGAAGCTTCAGTGCAACATAAGTTTTATTTCCCCAGATCTATGCCATGAAACATTTTTGTGTCTGAGCTTTGCAGCCACTTCCTTTGACCTCTTGGTTTAGTTTTTGCTCTGTCAGCTGCAAGAACATCTATAGAGAGTTGCATGCTCCTTAAATCATGTTCATCTCCATCACTTATAGCTTATTCATAGCAGGGTCTTGAATGCAACAGGACCAGGAGAGAAACCCATACATCCCTCTCCCCAATGACAGTCTCCAGCTCTACCTGGGGGAAACCAAAGCGTTCCCAGGCCAGAGAAGATACACAATTGCTCCATTGAGTTCTGGGTCTGTCCAGGGCCTCTTCCCCGTGGGATATGCCCAAAGCACCTCTAAAGGAAGGCATCCAGGCACCCATACTTCTTAATCAGAAGCACAAACCACCTCAACTGTCTCCTTTAAATAAAGAGCAACAGGTACCCTACAAGGGCAGCACGGTGGCGCAACTGGTGGAGCTGCTGCCTCTCAGCGAGCAGGTCCTTGGTTCAAACCCCCGGTCCGGGGGCCATTCTGGGTGGAGTTTGCATGTTCTCTCCGTGCATGCGTGGGTTTTCTCCGTGTACTCTGGTTTCCTCCCACAGACCAAAAACATGCATGTTAGGCTGATTGGTAACTCTAAATTGTCCCTAGGTGTGAATGAGAGAGTGAATGGTTGTTTGTCTCTATGTGGCCCTGTGATGGATTTGCGACCCGTCCAGGGTGTACCCCGCCCCTCGCACAGTGATTGCTGGACATGGGCACCGGCGACCTCCGTGACCCAAAATGGAAGAAGCAGGTAAAGATAATGGATGGATGGAGGTACCCTACAAAGGAAGCCCATTTCAGCTGCTTGTATTCAGGATCTTGTTCTTTCAGTCATTACCCAAACCACATGATCATAGATGAGGTTTGGGCTAGTAAATCGAGAGATTTGTCTTCCAATTCAACTCTTTTTTTGGCCACGACTGACCGAAGCAATGCCCTCATTACTGAAGATGAGGTGGAATAACCAGTGCAAGGGGCTATGAGTGACAAAAACACTCAAGCCGAGTTTATACTTAATTTTATTTAAATTATTCTAGATTTTTGTTGTCTGTTGGTCTTTTTTTGTTGACGTATGATATATATTAAACCTTAGCTCAACAGAAACATTATTGAGGTCAAACGCACCCTGGTTTGGTTCAGACATTGTAACGCTGTATAAAAAGAGATACCAGATGTTGAAAACATTAGCTGAAATGGCACAGATGATGAGCTGAGTCACGAGTGGAACATAGCAGGGATTTGGGAAGATTAGTTGGATCAAGCAGCTCAACAAAGCGAACAACGAAAGTGCAGGGTGGCAGAGAATGCAGTGACAGCAGAATACGGAAGCAGCAGGAAGAGTCACCTGATGCCCCAATAGGCTGGAAGTCTGAAAAATGACACCGCTGTTGTTCGGTTCTGTGGGTTTACAGTCAAAGATGAACATAAAATGATGCTAAACTACTTTGACTCACAAAATTGAAAAAACAAAGTGCTAACCTGTTGAGGGCTGAAAAGTTGCCCACACTGAATTTATCTCCGCTTGTAAACTGCAGTGATTCTGGTGTGGCTTCTATAACCATGTAAAGATGAAGATAACCATGGCAACAATAGAGAAAATGCAGAAGCATGAAGAGAGGTGCATCCATGAATGTCCTCAGCAACCTTAGCCCATCACAGCAAAACTAAGTTGACTGCCATCCAAACCAAGACGTCCAAGTTCATGCTCACTCATTCAGGTACAACACCTAATAATGGTCAGTCAGGTCATCTAGACAGTTTATTTTTTGTGGAAAGACATTTCGCCCTCTATCCGGAGGGCTTAATCAGTCTGAGGAGTCCCAAGTAAACTTTTCCCCGCTAAGCAGTATACTCCTTTAGTGGATCAACCAGTGATAAGATGATTTCTGGGAGCTGTCCTATCCCCCTTCGACTCTTCTCAGGCAGGCAGCCACAGCCAAAGTGGTTCAAGACATCAAAGTTCATGCTCACTCATCCAGGTACAAAATCTAACAATGGTCAGTCAGGTTATCTGGACAGTTAACCAAGACTTGGTTATACAAAAAACTGGGGTTAACATACATGAAAACAGAGTTTAGATACCTAGGGAAGATTCAGACATACAGGTCCAGCTCAAAAAATTAGAATATTGATAAAATTTTCCAATTTTTTTGTCACTCTTCTCAGAAAGTGAAACTCGTATTTTAAATAGATCCATTACACTTAGAGTGAAATATTTCAAACCATTATTTCTTGTAATTTTGATGATTATGTCTTACAGATAAGGAAACAACAAAATTCCGTGTTTCACTTGTAAATGGGGATAAAGAAGTTGTCCATGAAAATGTTCAATAAAAGCTCAAATCTAAAAGCTTGTAGTGCATTCTTTAACAGCAGTACTTCTTAGGAGAAGTTTTCTGTAGTATTTTTTCTGTATCTTTCATGGTTGTGAAGGATTTTTGGTTCATTCTTCTTTCCAAAGTTGCTTCAGTTCCCCAAGTTTTGCAGACATTTGTGAAAAATGCATGCTAAATTGTTTGGAAATTACCTTTAACCAGGGCTTAATTTGTAAATGGATTGATGCCGGAACACAAATAATGGGTGGGCCGGCATGGGGCCTTGGGGACATGGGGTCTGGAGGTCCTCCCCAGAAAATTTTGAATGAAGTAGATGAAATTTCCTACATTTTGGTATATTTTAACAGGTTGTTAACCATCTATGTTTACTTACATTTGTAAACACTCTGTTTCTGTCAAACACTCTACACCCCTCCTCCTTACTTGACGATTCTGAGCCAACTCTTTTCCTCTGAATTCACTGTCCTGTTGTCCAACTCCATATGTGAAACCTCCAGGCGCCTCCATCTGTTCATGGCGGCTGCCTGTGAGCTCCTGCTTGTGTATGCCCACTCACCCCCACCACTCTTTGAGGGGCGGAGAATTTTTTAAGGGTAGAAGCGGAAGTGCTTACTTGAAGAGGCAGATCGTATGTGATATTAAGAAGCTTGTAAGTGGCTGTTGTGTTTAAAAATAGTGTTTATGTAATTATTTTCAGTTTACATATCCAATATATGTTTTTTTGTTCAAGGCAGTCATATTTGGTCATAACTTTATTATTTGTAAGTCTCAGAATTACCGGAACCAAGCAAACAGTTACCGGAATGCACCCTGTCATCAAATTTCTAGATCCTGTTCCGGCAGGATCCGACTCAAATTAAGCCATGCCTTTAACCCTTCCCAGATTGATGGCAGCAAAAAGTTGCTTCTCTATGGTCCTTGTTGATGTTTTTCCACTTTGACATCATGTTAACACACACCTGTATATGTGCCAGAGAATCAAAAACGGCTTTTATGGAAGTGCTCACACCGATGATGATCAATTAATCAGTACATCTGATCTGAATCTCCTGTCTTATTCTGAACCTCTTGGCAGTGAGTCATCCTCAACACATACTCCAAGCTTTATTCAATGCACAAGATCTTTACCAAAAATGTTGACATTAATTATTGGTATCAACCTTGTATGTCTGTTAGCAAGATATCTTGTTAACCATAAGACAGATTTTAATGAAATTCTCAGAAAGTAATTATTAAATGTACATCTACAACTGAATAATTTTTTAAGTTACCTCAATTCAGGTTGGCTGCTACACTTAATCAAAATTATCCAGCACAAAAAAGGCTATAACTCTGTCATATTTACCAATATTTAGCTAAATTTCAATGACATACTAGCAGACAGTCATTCACAACACTGACATGTTGTGACGTATTACAATTTTGCTTTCAATTTCAAGAATTCACCAAAACAGCTAGGACTCAATTTTCAAATTATAGATTGGATTAAACGTTTTTATCCTGCACTTTAAAATCTGCTGATAGTATTTTTTATTTTCTGCTCTTTAGATGTCGCCATAGGAAGACAACACATGGCTTCTACAGGCAGTGACATCCGTAAGTCAAACTGGTTTAGATGGTGGATTATTTAAAATGTTTCACGACCAAATCCGTGAAAGTTGGGCTGTTGTGTAAAATATAAAGGAAAAACTGAATGCAGTGATTTGTAAACCAAGCAAACTCATATTTTATTTACAATGGAACATGCTAGGGATGCACAATATTGGATTTTTGGCCGATATCCGATATGCCGATATGTTAAAACTTATTTGGCCGATAACGATACCAATACCGATATTTTTTCCCCTAGACCTACTTACACAAACTACATAATTTTTTCTGCAGTGGAATTAAAATACTAAATTATTCTGCATGGATACAGATGCCAAAAAGGGGGCTGAAAATATGTAACACTATATAAATATTGTATATATATATATATATATACGATATTATCGGTATGGTATCAGTATTGGACGATATTAGCGATAAAGTTAAATATCAGACAGCAAAATAACTCACCTGGTCAAATAATTGGTTTATACATATATAAACCACTGTCTTTTATATCTGTGAGTTATTTTGATGTCTGATATTTAACTTTATCGCTAATATCGGCCGATACCGATACCATGCTGATAATATCGTGCATCCTTAGTAAACATATCAAATGTTTGAATTAAGAATTTGCCATTTTAAATTTGCTGGCAGCAACACCGCTCAGAAAAGTTGAAATGGGGCAAGTAAAGGCTGTAAAAGTTAGTGGTACAAATAAGAAACAGCTCATTGCAACTAACTGGGTTTACAGGCAACAGGTCAGTAAAAGGACTGGGTATAAAATACGCAGTTTAGAGAGACTGAATCTCTCAGAAGTAAAAATGGGCAGAGGTTCACCAGTCTGCAAAAGACAAAAGGCTAAAAATAGTGGAGAAATTTCAGAATAATGACTTTCAACAGAAAATTGGGGAGACTTTGAGTATGTAATTGTCTACAGCTCATAATATCTAAGGATAACAAGACTAGACAAAAAAGACGTCAATGTTGGATGTCTGTGGTCTTCAAGTCGCCAGGCAGCACTGAATTAAAGCCCCTTCTGATTCTGCGCTGACTGCATGGAGTCGGCAACACTTCCACAAATCAACGTACGTAAACACCATCCATAAATTCTAGGTAAAGATAACAGTTGGTGTTTGTGAACACCAACCAGAAATGCTGCCGTCTTCTTTGGACCAAAGCTAATTTTAAAATGGGCTGATGCAAGGCGGAAAACTTCTTTGAGGTTAGATTAATCTAAATTTCTTTTTGGAAATATACATACACCATGTCCTCTGTACTAAAGAGGAGATGGACCATCCAGTCTATCCAGCGCACCAGTCAAAAACCTGCCTCTCTGATGGTATGTAGATACATTAGCGCCTCTGGAACGGACAGCTTACACATCTGGAAAGGCATCATCAATGCAGAACAGTATATACAGGTTTTAGAGCAACACATGTTTCCATCCAGGCACATTTTTCTGTGAAGTCATTGCTTATTTAAATACAACAGTACTAAACTGCATACAGTGGTTCCCAACCCTGGTCCCTGAGGAACACCACACTGCATGTTTTAGCTGTTTCCCAGCTTCAACACACCCGATTCAGTGGTATTATTACTTCCTCAAGTTCTGCCGAAGCCTGTTAATCAGTCATTCAAATCAGGTGTGTCAAACCAGGGCAACAGCTAAAACATGCATGATGGTGTTCCTCAAGGACCATAGTTGGGAACCACTGCATTAGAACATGGCATTATAGTAGAAAAGCCTGGGTTTGGAACTGATTTGTCTGCAGTCCAAACCTTTCACCAAGTGAAATATTTTGCACATCATGAAACAAAAATAATCCAATAAAGAAAGTTCTAGATGGTTGAACATCTAGAATCCTCTATCAGACAAGAATGGGACAACATTTCCATGACCCTGTCCCAATTTCTTCAAAGGTTGTAGCCAAAAATGTAAAAATTACTTCCTTTTTTTTAGTACAACAAAGGTAAAAATGTATTGTTTAAACATTTGATATGTTTCCTAAAGTATGTTCCAAGGTGGATTAAAAAAGATTCATATTTTACACAACATCCCTGTTTTGGAATAAGTGCTGTAAATTCAGGATCATACTGTTTGGATTTTAAAGATTTCTCTCACGTGATCTGGATGTTCAGTAAAGGATCATCTGAAAATGTGTATTTTTTTATTTTATTTTTGCTTTAATTAGGGATTCAGGGAGATGATAACCTTCAGTCCATGCTACTGGGGACGGTGATGCGGAAAATCAAGTCTCGCACCTGGAAAAAGCAGCGATATTTCAAACTGCAGGACGACTGCATGACCATCTGGTATAAATCTAAAAAGGCTGGGAATGCCCACAGCACGTGTAAGAACATAAACAATTTGATTTGCGCGTAATCACTTAACACCAAAAGGTGGAAGCTGTGCAATAACGTTTTTGCCTATGTGTCTAGTCGTCTGTTAGCAAGAAATCTATACTTAAAATGTTGGCATTGACTGTTGGATTCAACTCTATCCTATATGTTTGTTAGCAAAATATCCCCCTCAGCCAATGGCTGTATAGAATTTTCTCAACATTAGATGTCTCAGTTGAAAACTCTGGCATGAAATGCGATGGGAAACCAGCGTTCCTTCATTGAACACAGTCTGACATCCTGTTTCGGGATCCAGTTTCAGTGAGCGACGTGGCGGCAGTGAGAGAGGGCCACCAGAGCGAGGTACTGCTCAGCATTGCCAATGAGTTCCCAGCTGACAGATGCTTCACGTTGGTGTTCCGTGGTCGAAGGAGCAACCTGGACCTGGTGGCTGAGTCATCCGAGGAGGCCCAGTCCTGGATCAAGGGCATGAGGAAGCTGATTGAGAATTTGGAAAACATGGGAGAAAGGGAAAAACTGGACCAGTATCCTTTTACGTAGAGCTTGTTTTCACCAGTGTTCTTGAACATTTTGATTTCGGTCCAACGTCTCCCTACACAGGACGTTTTAGTAATAAGGTCTTTACGAATTGATCTTTAAATTAACCAATAAAAGTTCCGTGATGTGCAGTTTAGGAGATTGTTTCCCTTTCTCAAAGAGCTGTTTTCAGATGGATCAGTGATTGGTTCAAGAAGGCCGACAAGAACCACGATGGCAGGATGAACTTCAAGGAAGTGCGAGACCTGCTGAAAATGATGAACCTGGACATGAACGAACACCATGCTCTTCATCTTTTCACAGTAAGAGCTTTAGAAAAGAAAAAAGAAAACACACACACAACATTAGTGTTTAGCAAAGAGCTACGTTGTACATTTTGTGTTTTCTATCAGATGGCAGATAGATCCCAGACTGGCTCCCTGGAAGATGATGAATTTGTGTTGTTCTACAAGATGCTGACCGAGCGGGAAGATATTTTAAGAGTTTTCCAGGAGTACTCGACTGATGGTCAGAAGTTGTCCCAATGTGACCTGGAGGAATTCCTGAGTGAGGAGCAATTGGAGGAAGGCAACATCCAGCAACATGCCCAGCAACTCATTGACCGCTATGAGCCCTCAGACACAGGTAGATAGCTTGTTGTTGGTCTCATCCTGAAGCCATTTAAAAACTAAGATTATTATAAAATGTCAACTCCCAGCTTTTCTGCAAATAGTTCCCCCTGGGCTGTGACTGTTAGAGACTAGTTGGAGACACAAAAATTGCAAAAAGATATACTGATTTTCTGTCACCCTCTCACTGACCAAGCAACAAGCAACAAGCACGCCATGCGGCCATGTACAAGTTTTGAAAAAGCCTGTTTTCATGGTTTGCAAAACTGTTCGTAGTCACTGAACATCATTGTCCATCTTTACCAACATAGTTTTCAAGTAGGTATCTCTGCAGACAAATATGGAAGGCGTATCTGGAGGGCCACATCTGATTGGACGATAAGAAAAAAGGTGTATCTGGAGGGCCACATCTGATTGGACGATACGAAAAAAGGTGTATCTGGAGGCCCACATCTGATTGGACGATAAGAAAAAAGGTGTATCTGGAGGGCTACATCTGATTGGACCAAAAAAAAAGGCTGGACCAAAAAAAAAACAAGGCGTTTGTGTTAACCACAGGCATATTATGTCTATGGTGTTAACTGGTTCGACATTAGCGGCGTCTCCATAACTTCTCTTTCCGCCTCTCTTAACACAGAACTTCCGGTGGCATTTCAAAATAAGAGCAACATAAATGGGTAGTGGGGAGGGCTAAATGTTTGTTTTTCTAATACGTAGCCATTACATTAAAAAACAAACTCCGTTTTGGTTGTTGAATAAAGTGAAAATAGTTCATATCATACATAAAGAAAGAAAAATGAAGTAACCAAAATAACAATGATACTTAAACTGGCAGGATGTTGCCTTTAACTTCACATTTTCTTGTTCAACCTTTTAAATCAGTCACTGCAGATGAATGATTGTCAGTTTCTGTAAGATTTCTGCAACTGGAGCAGCTATTTCTGTTTACTGGTGAACTTCCTCAGCTGTCTCACATTTTAAGGGTCAACTCTACTCCATGTTTCAGCTCCTTTCATAGATCAGATCTCATAGAAGACACTTCTAAAGAGCAAATTTTGTTTTTAGCTTTTATTTTGGGCCATTATCTCATTACAGAACTCATTATCTTTAATTGAGACCAGACTTTTTGACAAATAGGAGCAGATTTCACTTCAGATGCTTCATATTTCATTGTACCCAGACCAGACTCAAGCCAACCTGTGTCAGGTGCAGCCTACAACCCAAGGACTAAAGAGAATCTTCTTGTGTTTGACAGTAGATATAACGCTGTTTCTTAGAAACCTTCAGTTTTAAAAAAAGAGCTGACGTAAATGACCTAAAGCAGCAAATACAGCTAGCCAATCAGTGTTTGTCCTCTAGAAACACCTGTTCTCCAGAAACGCCCACTTTTGGTCTGCAGAGAACCCCTTCTCCCAAGTAGAACATTGAGGACAGAGAAAGGAAGAACGTCCTTTTAACTTGAAGCTTCTAGCAGAATCAGGCTCAGAATGGGCTTCCATCTGTGTCGACCAGATTGGATAAGCGACAACAGGAAAGGGAGACAGACAAACAGGAAGTGGTCCAAATCAATTGAAAGAACAACAAAGAAAAACAGGTTAACGACAAAAGTTTGAGAGCAAAGTGTTCTGTTTGAAAAACGTGGAACAATAATACCTTTCGTATTAGATGGAACTTGGTTGTTGAGAGCTTTGTATGTTAGAAGTAAGATTTTAAATTCTATGTAGAATCTGACAGGGAGCTGAGGGAGAAAAGCTCAAACTGGAGACATACGAGAACTTTAGAACTCGGAAAACGAAATTGAGATGGGTTTGAGATTAGCTCGATTCAACCACAACAACTCTGCAACTATTTTGAGAGAAAATTCGTTGCGCTTGTTCAAATGTTACCAAGAAGACGACAATCTTCTGTGACTCATGCAATAAATTTGAGAACCACAGGGACACTTTTGAGACACTTAAGTCGCCAACTAGTCACTAACAGTTGTAGCCCAATGAAATGTTGGCTTTATATACTAAATAAATTAGCATCACGTTATGTTCTGGTGATGTGTGAGAAGATTCTGATGCCATCCTGTTGCCGTCCAGCCAAGCTGATGAAGGCCATGACATATGATGGGTTCTTGATGTACCTGGGCTCCTCTGACGGCTCCATCTTCAACCCACAGCGGCGGGGTATCTTCCAAGACATGAGCCAGCCGCTGTGCCATTACTTCATCTCTTCCTCTCACAACACATATCTCATGGAGGACCAACTCAAAGGACAAAGCAGTGTGGAGGGATACATCAGGTAGCACAGCTGGGGCAAAGTAAGATGGTGGATTGTGGTAAAACTGATGAAATACTGATGCTAAACTGATTTTTTTTTTTTACCGCAATGGATACATAAGAGAGACCCTTTTAGGGAGTAGGATAGACTTTAGCAGACTTAATTGAATTGGATTTTAAAAGCAAAGCTTTCTCTACGTTTTTACTCGTGATTTTTTTCATTAGTCAATCAGAACAAGTCTGAACACACATCAATTATTATCTGTACTTACCATTTAATACTTAAATATATGTTCTTTAATAACAAACACACACTGATAAAATTAGGCACCCAGAAGGAATGGTCAGATTTATACACAATGTGGTCAATGTGCAGAACAGTGATGGTTATGTAAATGTTCGATTTGCAAGGAGGTGGCAAATCTAGAACAAGCACCAGAGGGTGGCATCACGAGTGGAGCAACAATGTTATCAAGCAGTCAGTCAAAAACACTGAGTGCAGGTTACAAGACACATTACACAGCATTACAACCACTTGACGGACTTTGATAAGGGTTGTGAGTTTTAATGAGTCCGGGTAGTTGGATCATACAATTGCCAGGTATGTGGATGTCACAGTGGTCTGATGTTGTAACCACTGGGTATTTGAGGGCACCCACACCTGTCACAAAGGTTTTGCTATGTTTTAGTCCAAGTAATACCATTAAAAAAAGAAACTTGTTGTACTATTCAAGAAACATTTCAGAATCCCATGACAGCTTCACATATGCATGCTATCCAAATGTTGGACTACTACAATTTCCCAGGTTGATATTAACACCAAAGCAAAGATTAATGTGTTTGAAGTGGTACAGCAATCGAGAGGTATAAATCTTGGTTTTATATTAGTAATTACCGTAAGCCTATAAAGTGGCACCAAAAAGAGAGACCAAGTCCTGCCAATGGTGTGGAGATATCGTATGGGGACCCGTTGGGTCTGACTTTAGGTGACCTCTGGTAGTTATTCAGGGGACTCAGACCACACAGTACATTGACATCCTACGTTTGCATGTTTTACCTTTCTTGAGACACAATTCTAGTATAGTATTTCAACAAGAAAACATCTGTTCACACATGACATGTACAAAGTCTATCTATGAACTGCCTGCATCATACTGAGGTCATCTCATGGCCAGCCAGCTCCCCAATCATTCCACAAGTAAACATGATTGGGGCTTAGACACAGCTTAGACTGGGACTTAGACCAAATGATGGACCTCGTAGGGTCAGTTACAAAACGTTTCAGGCCACCTTGGTACAAAACAAGACACGATTGTATGACTACGTTTTGCACAAATTCACGCTTGTATCCATGTCCATGAGGGTACCATTTCCTGCTGACATGGGACTATCATGCCCCTTTTCCATTAGTACCTGTAGTACCGGTACAGCATGGCTCTACTCTACTCGGTACGGTACGCGTTGTGTGCTTTACTCGTTTTTGCAATTTCCCCAACACTGCATTTTCAGAGTAGATATACTGTCATGCTCTTTGACATGCTCCATGAAGCTTATCTAGGGAAAGAGGACTTCCTGTGACCTTGTCTAAAATTTAGCCTCCATCATCATGTTCTGTAAGATACGAGCAAATAAAATGAATGCCAATGGTAAATGTTTTTAACAGATTAAGCTTGTTCCATTGATGCAATACTTGGATTAATAAAAAAAAGGGTGAAAGACAGATTTGTCTTTGCTGCACAGGGCTCTGAACCGTGGCTGCCGATGTGTAGAAGTGGACTGCTGGGATGGTGCCAATGGAGAACCCATTGTCTATCATGGACATACATTCACCTCAAAGATACTCTTTAAGGATGTGGTCATTGCAGTGGGAAATTATGCCTTCAAGGTAGCTCCGTCTATACTGTTTTTGTCTTTGATGCATAATTTCAGTTGAGTTGCCTTAAACATAAAGAATATTTCAGTGAAAAGCCAATCTCTTTCGGTTACTCAAGTTGAAAGTCATTCAATTTTTGTTCGGGCTACAAGATTCAGTCCTTATTAGTGAGACTTCTAGGTCTAGGTTTATTATAGGGATAGAACTGTACAATGAGATCCTAGATATATTCTGAAAGCACTGTGCTGTGAATTAGTCCGGGTTGAACAGAAGGTTCTAACCTTGTGATTTCTTGTTTGTCCACCTGCTACTCTTTCAGTCAGACAGGCAAATCTCATAAATGGATAGCCGTTGGTGTATTAGTTTGCCTCTATGGTATTACTCCCCGGTGTTAAATTACAACCTGTCTGCTTTTATCGTCTGATCTCCTTCAGGTATCGGAACATCCAGTCATTATGTCCATTGAGAACCATTGCAGTGTTGAGCAGCAGAGAGTCATGGCCCAACATCTCAGTCACATCCTTGGCGATAAACTACTTAAAAATGCACTGGATGGAAAGGCCCCAATCAGGTTGCCGTCTCCCCAGGTGAGCTGGGCACTCTTACCCTTGTCTGCTTTGTTGACACTATGACTTCCAAGAGAAAATTCCTTTGGAAACTCAATAGTGTGAATGATTATCAAACATTCACACTATTGAGTTTCGTTTGTCTTCCATTCGTTTTTTGGCACATAACTCATTCCGCAATATTTGTGCTATTTTAACTATTCATTTATCAAAACGGTTGCTCATTTAGGACATCCCTGCTATGACTTTTGGTACTATATACTTTTAGTATACTTTTGGAGCATTAAGTGTAGAACCACTAGACTGAGGAACAGCTTCTACCCTGAAGCTGTTAGACTCACGAATCCCTAATCAGGATAATTACTGTGAGAGAAAAAAAATCACTGTAATGCCACTTGATTGTTGATATGTGGTGCTGACTATCCATGCTGCTGATCTCATGCTGCTGATTTATTTCATGCTGCTGATTTATTTCATGCTGCTGTGTTCATTCGTACTCATCTGCTCACACAGACTCATGTTCGTGCTGCTGTTGTTTGGCGTATTGCTTTTGCACTATTAAGTGTTTAACGTATTCTTAGTTCATATCTTAGCTCTTACTACTGTTTTTCTTTACAATTTATACTTTTGTTGGACGTAACTGGGACCCTGTGTACACAATTTCGTTCCACCACATGTACCACATGTGATGCGTATGACACTAAAGAAACCTTGACCTTGTTTTTTTAGCTTTTTCAGCCTTTTTTTTTTTTGTGCTAATATCAGATTTTTTTGTAATCTCTTCCACCTCTATCTGTTTCAACTTATTCTACTCAATTTGGACCTATTCAGCTTTTTTTTTTTACACTTTTCTGCCATTTTCTACTGCTTTCTGCTTTTATTTTTCAGCTTTCGGCAAACGTCAGCTGTTACAATTCAGCTCGCATTTCAACAGTGTGTTTAAATCTTTTCAGCCACCACATTTAGCAGGAAATGCAATTTCTTTAGTTGGAAAATGTGTTTTGGATATTTCATTAGCGGGCAGCACGGTGGCGCAGATGTTAGAGCTGCTGCCTCATAGTGAGCAGGTTACCCTGGTTCAAATCCCAATCCGGGGGCCTTTCTGGGTGGAGTTTGCATGTTCTCTCCGTGCATGCGTGGGTTTTCTCTGGGTACTCCGGTTTCCTCCCACAGACCACAAACATACATGTTAGGCTGATTGGTAACTCTAAATTGTCCCTAGGTGTGAGTGTGAATGGTTGTTTGTCTCGTTTGTCTCTTTTTTGTGTCCCTGTGATGGATTTGCGTTCTGTCCCGGGTGTCCCCCGCCTCTCGCACAGTGACTGCTGGATATGGGCACCGGCGAACCCTGTGATCCAAAATGGAAGAAGCGGGTAAAAAATAATGGATGGATAGATGTTTGTTGTACCACCTTCCATTCACCCTCAGTAAACCTCCCCAGTGTTTTTCCTGTCTGCCTTCCACTCTCACCTGTCCTCAATCAGTGTTCTGCCCAGGTGTTCCCACTTTCACTCTCACTCAGTTTGTTATTTAAGCCGTCCCTTTTCCACACCTCATCATCAGCTCACTATTCTGAACAGCTCTGACGGCTTGTGCTTCCCAGTGCCGTCATGCTGTTTCCTCTGCGTCTCCCTGATCTCATTTATTTGTAAGTTTTGCTACCACATCAGCGTTTTGTTAAATAAATAGATGTTCTTTATTTTACCTTTGAGTTTCCCCGAGTCTGTCTGCACCTGGGTTCAGCTCTCACCCCAGAGCTTGAGCTTACTGTGTGTTTGATATATGTTAGACTTTACAGCAGGAACTGGAGTTCCTTTCTTAATACAAATTTGAGCAACCTCCTCAAATGTGCATCACATTGTCTATTTGCTCTCTTTTTCCTAACAGTCAGAAGTAAAGCTAAGCACAATCTTTACATGCATGGGTCAACTAGACCCAAAGAGGTAAAATCCAGTTCTGCTCATTTTATTAATCAGAAAACAGTAAATGATGCTTTGGTTGCCATCCTGTAGCCTTATTAGCATCATTAAACAAGTTGTAAGAGTCTCTCTGTTGTCCATACACACTTTCCCCATGGAGCCATAGAAAAAAACGTGCTTAATTTTTGTTTGGGGTGCTATCGTGTCCTACGTGAATCAGTCATGGCTTGCCAAAAATGTGACTTTGAACTCAAAGATTGACAGCTGGAGATCATGGTTTGGGCAATCATATTAAAGTTTCACATAGTTTGGTCAGTATTGCAAGCATTCTCTCTCTATGTCTATATCTCTTTCTCTCTATCTTTTTCTCTCTATCTCTTTCTCTCTATCTCTCTGAATGAGTAATATTGCGATCAATATATTTCTCTAGTTATAGTATAGTTAAGAAGGAAGCTCAGAGGGGACAGGGCTTTCTCTGTCATGGGCCCTAAGTTATGGAACGACTTGCCTTTGCAGGTCAGAGAGTCCCCTTCACTGTCCATTTTTAAAGTTCGTCTTAAAACTCATTTATTCAACTTGGCTTTTAACACCAGCGGGATCTAGTTTTTAAATTTTGTATGCTTTTAAAATGTATGTTTTTAACACCAGCAGGATCTAGTTTTAAATTGTATGTTTTCTGTTTTTAAACTGTTTTTATTTCCACTTTTATTATGTTGTGTTTTAATGTACAGCACTTTGTGTCAGCCATGGTTGTTTTAAGGTGCTTTATAAATAAAGTTGGTATGGTATGGTATAGCGAGAACAGAACATGAGATTTGGGAAGCAGGACAGCTTAGCAAGAACGTTCTTAAATCCCCAGTTTGGACCTAGGGTCTTTCTGTGTTGAGGTTGCATGTTCTCCTTGTGTTTGCATGAGTTTTGTCTCGGTACTCTGATTTCCTCCCATAATCCAAAACACAATCATATTTGGCTGCCTTCAGGCCCAACCCTCCTTTGAAAAGAAGATCTATGATTCTTATTACAAAACCACTGATGATCACGACACTTCAGTTGCATTTGCCATTTTTAAGCTCAACAATTTTACACCAATTTTTGCACAGCTAACCAACTAATAGCAGCAATATTTAAGTCCTCGGAGCATAGCTATGCTGTGGTGAGGATTTGGAGCATGTTGCTTTTTAATTTGTAGCAGAATTTTTGTGTCACGTTATGGCAAGCTGGTTCCTGCCTTGAAGGTTTATATTTGCATGTGAGATATAAAGATGTACAGATGTGAGGTGGTCATTATTACACCCAATCTATTCCAAAATGTCAACACACATGGGAGCATAGCTTTGTTTAGTAGTGAAGAGCGTTTGAAATATTCTAACAACGCTTTGCGCAAAAGACTTCCTGGCCACAATAAATATGTATCATGAACTTTGTATGACTATGACCTAGAGAGAGCTAATAATGAATGCTTTTTTATTTGACAAAGGCAGTATAAATAAAGGAAGTTTAAGTCTCATTGACACATTTGAGTAAGAATTGCTTAATGTATTCCTTGACCCCCCCGTATCTTCACTTTGTCATTGTGATAATGTTAATTCAAAATAGGTGATCAAAAGTGATTTTGTTCAAAACTTTGTCCATAAGCTATTGATTACCATGCTTGTTTTATTTTTATTTGACCTCTCTTAGGATCTCAAAGGAAAGATTCTTCTAAAGGCCAAGAAAATTGGTGGTCTTGAGGAGAATTTCAATGGGATGGTTGGAGACTCTCTGACTGGAGAGGTCAGTGAAGAGGACGAGGCGGCGGAAATAGATGACGATAACCAACATCGTGAGAGTATACGGTACAGGGTGAAGGTAGGCATGCTTATCAATGCGCTGTCGTCTAACCGTTTCACTCGATGACTCTATTTCAGTGATAGTTAAGCTGACAATGAAGTACTGAAGACAATCATCTTGAAGACATTTCATCTGTCACTCAAAAGGTTTCTTCAGTTCTGATCATGGATTGAGAGTTCCAGGTATACAAGTCACTGTTGGGACAATCACACTAATAGGGCCATTGAAGTCATCTGAAATTTGACCCACCATCCGTCTTTAGGGTTGTCTGAGTCATTACCTGTTGGTGTGAGGTGTAGCAGGCATGTTTCATAATGGGAATGGTTGTTAAACCGTCTGGAAAGAAGAGTCAGTTCTGTGCTGTAGGTGTTAGATAACTGAAATCTGAGGCCACTTCCTCCATGTAATATTGCTTTCCCCCCTGCTTGAGATAGATAGCTTTCTTCACTCCTCTGTCAAGACATCAGTAGCCGTCTCCATATTGATTTTGATATTGATGTTGACTGAGTTGACATGTCTGGTAAAGCTTCTATATTTTGGGCAGTATCTTGGTATAGCACCCTTGTAAGGAGTTCGGGGTTCTCATTTCCTAATAGAGAGACAAGTATGTCACTGGTTAATATGACTTGAATGACCCTATTAGTGTTATTTTCCAAAAAGGGACATGTAAATCTGGAACTCTCAACCCATGATTCCAACTGAACAAGGTTCATCAGTCAAGGTTCAGCCACGATGTGCTTGCCGGTGAACCTATCTGCCAGGCCTGGGTGAGGCCCCTAGTCTAGGCGAAGCGTCCTAGTTCCTTGTTCAAGTGGTTATCTTAAGGTTTGCTAAGTCATGCTTTGTCTAGACCCTAACCTAGATCAAGTTTACCATGGAAAATCCTACCAATAGAAAATAGGCCCAACAACACATGTAGCTTTGGGGTCCGTTCAGACACTCAAACAACCCAACCACAATAAGGTGCAGGTTGAGGAGTGCAAGTATCTTAGTGTTTTCTTTATAAGTGGGGGTTGAATAAAGCGGGAAATTGATAGGTAGATTGAGATAGTGTCTGCAGTGTTGCAGACAGAGCTGATCTGAAAAATGGCTCAATTTAGCAATCATGTATGCTCTAAACCTCACCTATGGTCATAAGTTATGGGTAATACACAAAAGAATGAAATCACAAATACAAGTGACTGAACTAAGCTTTCTCTGCAGAGTGTCTGGATCTATCCTTAATGATGGGGTGAGACATTTGGCTGTGTGGGAGACGCTTAGATTAGAGTCACTGCTTCTCCTCATCAAAAGACCCAATTAAGGAGGTTTGAGCATCAGGTATAGATGCATTTTGAACACCTTCTAAGAGAGGTGTTTTGGATATGTCCTACTAAGAGGCAACCTTGGGGCAGACCAAAAACTTGCTTGAGGGCTTATACAGTATCTCACATCTAGCTTGGGGCTGCATTAGAGTTCCTTTGGAGGAGCTGGAAAAAGGTATGTCTAGAAATTTGGCTGGAGCTGTTGCCCTTACAGCCCAATTGTGGATAAATAATCAATGGACGGATGACTGGATACATAAATGGACAGCCATTGTAAGCATATGTAGACTAGAGTCACACGTGATTGAAATAATTGTACATAGATTGCATTTATTACCTTTAAATGACCCATTTAACTGTAAAATTATTTTTCCACTGTTGTTTTCTTTTGAACGTACTTGCAGTTTCAAACACTTTTCTTATATTTAACTGTTACAAACACTTGGGGTTTAGCAGTACAGTTTGCATGTATATTATGGCACAGAAACCGCTTTCCCCACACTTTAATAAAAAATAGAAAGAGCTGAAAGACAAAAGTTTGATAGTTTGATAGAGTCAATCCCTTTTGTATTGAGAGTTCCAGGTATACAGGAACAATTACACTAATAGGGCCATTGAAGTCATCGGAAATATATACAATCTACTTACCTGCTGTCACCTGAGATTATGGTTCAAGCGAGAAACAGTGAGTCATCAATGTACTAAATCTTGTAGCTTATGCCCAACATGTCAAATACACAAAGAATAGCTTAGTTTAAACTGTGAAAATAATGTTGCTCTTGTAAATCTGAAGATTATGCAACTTTAGTCCTAGTAAAGGCCAGATCATTTTTCATCATATTGTGATACGCAACACCCTATACGTAAAAACAATCGTGGGCTGAAACCAAAATCTGTTATGCAGCCATCAGGCTCACACTTTCACTGCAAAAGGGATCGGTGATCTCCACGAAATTGGCCTGGGTAAATAAAGGTTAATGAAAGAAAAAAATAAGAAGAAATAATCTGAATATCTCGTGAATTAACTCTATGCCAGGAATGACTTAGACATGAACTCGTTGTCTCAGCTCATTGCAACACACAGCAACCACCTCGTCTTCAATATATGATCGAATATTAAGGCAGGTTCCTAAGGGTAATCCACTTACTGGGAGTAAGGCAGGTCCTTCATAGTAAGGCAGGCTCCACAGAAAAAGGCTGGTTCCTAAAAGTAGTGCAGGTTCCCTTGCACATAATATTCCTGCTACAACTAATATCCAAGACTGAAAAGAAATATAAATCCTGATGTTACATTCTTCAGAGCATCTCTTTCAAAGATCGCTTAATGGGTCTAATGTAGCCAATTAAGTGCGTAAAAGAACTTTGGAGCACTTAGTGATGTTTATTTATTAGCATCTGAGTAGCATGAAATGCCACACTGCGGGACTCCTGTCAACAAGGCTGACAGAGGTGAAGCCAGTTGAGAGTTTGGCAGTGACATGAGCTCTGCAGGGCCCTGGCGGATGGTTTAAGTGTCTCTAACTAAAGGCATACCCAGGTGAACCAGGTGGATGAGGTTTCATGTGAAAGCAGGCAGGCAGGTATGTGTAGGTGCTCTGTCGGGTTCGCCATGCCACATCTCTGGTCTAAACAGTCATGGAAACTAACCTGGGTGCACACCTTTTTTCTTTGTGGCTTTGTGGTTGAGTATCACTTCCACCCATGACTATTTACTTTCCGCACTGAGGGTTCACCCTATCAGATGTTTGGGACTGTCGGTTCATGCTAACGCGGAGTCAGATGGGTCTACCAAAGCAAACCTTGCGTAACTGTGGTGCGAAAATCATCAAGTGGAGTTCAAATGCTCAGTCCTTTTGTCTTTACCAAGATGTGATGAGACATTCTTTAATGTTTGCTTGGATTTCAATAGTGACACAAATATCAATTCAATTCAGTTTTTTTTATAAAGCGCCAAGTCACAACAGAAGTCATCTCAGGGCACTGAACAGAAACATTCATATCACCAAGTTAGTCTGAGCATCTTTCTATTTGTTGATGGACTCAGTAAATCTGGGGTTGTATCCCAGTTTATCAGATGTTTCACCACTTGACGAACATGTTTTTTTTTTTTTTTTGCTGTGTGTTCCGTTTGTTTTTCCAGTGTCTCTCTGTGTTTTTAGTCATTCTCAGTATTTTTCCACAGTCAGTGTTTGGTAGGGGTGTAACGGTACGCTAAAAATCACATTTCGGTTCGGTTCAGTTTCAAGGAGGGCTCGGTTCGGTTAATTTTCGGTACAAAAAAAAAAGACAAAATAAAGACTTACGAAACGTTTATTTAAAAAAAATATACCAAGTAAACAATAGGTTTGTATAAAAATAAATAAAAGCAACCCATTTGGATGATATTTTAAATAAACGGCACTCTTTACAATAAATAAACTATACTCACAATAATGAAAATCTTAATAAATACAATAACAGTCAGAACAATAAGCAGAAACAGACCGTTTACAATCTATCTAGTCAAGTTTTAAGTTTTTTGGCCAAAAAGACCAACTTATCTATATTTTCTGCCAAAAGTTTCAATGAATATCTCCAGCGGTGGAGAAAACCGCTCACTAACAACAGTAGCAGGAATAGGGAGGTAGCATTTAGCTAATTCTGCAGTGTGGCTGTATTTGGCCTCATTACTCACAACCTCTTCTTGGACCTGCTCCCACAGGTGGGACAGGACCAATCATTCACACCTGTCTCTAATCTGCTACCTGCCCAGGTGCGCTCATTGTCTCTCTCTCCGTCAGCATTACTTAAACCTTTCCTCTGCACTACTCAAGCGTCCGGTCATTGTTCGGTTCTGCTCTGCTTACACAGACTACACGGTCCTCCTGCCTCTGTTTCCGAGTTCCCGTCCGAGTCTGTACCCGTCCTGTTTTTGCCTGCCTCTTCCTGTTTTTGTACGTTTTTTGCTGCTACGCCAGCATTTTGTTTTTGCTGTTTAAAATAAATTGTTTTTATTTTAAACTCCTGCCTTCGCCTGCACGCAAATGGGTTGAAAATTCAAGAAGTGTGTCAGGATGGATGGATGGATTGTCCTTAGTTGGACAACAGAGAACTGAATCCTTCAGGTGCTTCAAACGGTGCCACAAGACTGGAGCAAGAGCGGAGAAGAGTTCAGCTCAGAACTGTGACGTGAGGGGAGGGAGGAGAGGGGTTTAGGACACCTGACAGAATCGGAGCTGCTCTACTCACACACAACCTGCTGTTCCTCTCCAAAATAGTAATTTTATTAAGTGTTTACAAATATAGGTAAATGTTGATGTACAACAACCCGTTACAATACACCAAAATGCAGGAAATGGCATCGTTGTTATTCAAAAATTACCCGCTGTTCCGGCATCAGTCAGATTACAAATTAAGCCCTGGTGGGAAATACACCAGGAGAGGCATCAAACAGAGGGAGTCAGGGTGTACAAATTGAAAACTGTGTTTCATCGTGGTAACGTTTTTGTGTCGGTTTTGTATTTTGCGTTTTCTTCCTGTTTGTTTTTCTTTTATATTTTGTTGTACTTAGAATAGGTGTGGTCATTAAGTGCGCTAAAATTATTATTATTATTATTAAAAAATTTCATTTGTGTCAGGATTTTCAATGCATCTCGTCTGAATGCTTTGGAAATGTAAGGATGGTGCCCTCTAGTGGCTGGTTCTCATCCTTACACTCCCTGGTCTCTCTGCGTATTGTCGTGATTATTTCCACCCTCGTGTCCTGTCCAGGTGTGCGCCATTGTTACTCAGTGTGGGCGTGTATATAAGTATGTGTCTTTGTGTTACTCGTTGTCGGGGCATCGTCTGTGATTGTCTTGTATTCGTCCGGTTTCCCTGAGTCCCTGGTATTCTCCTGAGTTTCCTACGTGTTCGCGTTTGTGAATAGAGCTGCTACGACAGCCTGTTTATTTTGCGTTTATTAAAAGTGTTTTATTTTACGTCTCGAGTCTCCGAGCCCTGCCTGCACTACTGGGTTCATCTCCAAACACACCATTTCCTGACAGGAAAAACCAATTCAAAAAGACCTTGAAAAAAAATGCACATCTCCTTTGACATTAGTTTAAAACTTATATCTAATACTGATAATTGATGATGTTATGCTTGTTCAGATCTTAAGAATATCAATATATGTGATCTCAAGTGATATTACAAAATCTTGTATGATCTATTAGCACTTGTACTGTAAATAACTCTTGGTTACTACCACATCAAACCTGGTAACATTCCCATAGTCCTGATCATGTTTGTTTGCTTAGGTTGATTAGTTCTATCAGAAATTTAAAATTGGGTTGACTCCAAAAATTAATCAGTTCTTCTTCACCTTTTACCTTTTGATGGATGGATTCCCATTGGCATTGTCCTTGGCCATTCCCTGGCATCCTTCGAGAATGTTTACGGATCTCACCGGAGGGAACTGGTTGATTATTCCATCCTTATCAGAACTCCTACAGTGCCCTCGAGAGCGTCCTTGGACATGCTCACCGCTCTCTTCGTCTCCCCCCTCTGGAATGTCTACGTCACCATGTGCTTGTATGTGCAAGGTGTTTTTGCAAAATTAGAGCTTTTCTTCTCAGCCAAGAAGAAAGAGTCTGATAGGAATTTTTTTTTTTTGCTTCCAATTCCTACGTGTGTTTAGTTTCACTACTTTTTGTCTGTCTAATTCTGGTAACAACTGTAGTTTTCAGTGTGGTGTTTAAAAGCCCATAAATTTTTCATTGTCTGCCTATTATGAATTTATTGACTTCAGTAGCCTGTTCTATCATTGGCCATTGTTGCGGAGCTTTTGTTGTCTTTTTTTCCCGTTTTTTCAGAGGTCAAAGCAGCGCTTGTCGAAGGAGTTATCGGACTGTGTTGTTTACTGCAAGAGTGTCCGTTTCAGGAGCTTCAAACACTCCCGCATCCATACCAAGTTTTATGAAGTTGCCTCTTTCACGGAATCCAAAGCCCGAAAGCACTTGCGAGAGGCAGGTAAGTGGATCTACACCAGTCTGTAACAAGTACTGGTTTCCTACAGAGCCGTCCATCCTACATCAGAAATTTAAAGTGATTTGTGTTTACCTGTATCAACAACCGGACATTACACTGTTGTTAGTTCATGTCTTGTGTGAGACTTTGAGAAAATGTATGCACAGAACAAATCAAACATCCTTTTCCAAATTGTTTTTGGAAGAACAACTCAAAACAGAAGCCAATGAATTAAGGTTAATTAATTGTGTTAAGGGCCTTGTTCAAGTATCTAGAGTGGGGCATAAGAGGATAGAGGCAGGTATGGGTGCTTCACCTTTACGACCCACATTTTTGTTGATGGTCCGGGGATTCAAACCGGTGACTTTCCAGTGCTTGACTTCTGTAAGCTCTGTGCCACCACTCCCCCCAGTATAAAACTAGATGTTATTTACATATAATGCATTTTTTAAATACTGTACATCTTAAAAACAATATCTATTTGCAGTTTAACTGCATATTCATTTAACAAACAGCAGTCTCAGTAGTATGTGGAAGAACCATACACAGCCACAACAACCTGGCACTTCCTCATGCTGTTCACCAGTTTAGTCCCACACTGCTGTTGGATGGGATCCCATTCCCCAACCAGCATTTGTCACAAGTCAGTCAACAGGGTTGTGTTGGTCTTTCTGGACCGAACAACACACCCACGGGGTTCAATGGAGTTGAGGTCAGGACTTCAGGCAGGCCCTTCCATTCTCTCTACTGTTAAATTTTGGAGATAGTTTCTGATGAACCTCGCTCAGTGGGAGTGAGTGTTATCATGTTGGAGGATAGAGTTTGGTCCCAGACTATGGAGATACATATGGCAGGGGTTCCTAATACTGGTCCTTGTGGAACACCATCCTGAATGTTTTAGTTGTTTCTTTGCTCCGACATACCTGATTTTAATAAATGGATGATTTACAGGCTTCTGCAGAACACGAGGAAGTAAATAAATAACTGAATCAGGTGTGCTGGAGCAGGCACACAACTAAAACATGCAGTATGGTGTTCCTCAAGGACCAGAGTTGGGAACCAGTGCAGTATGGGCTATCCACTGGTTGCTAAGAACCGACAATCAGGTGCCAAATTCATTTTCCTAACAATTGTGGCACCATTTAAGGGGAAATAAACAGGCTTTCCAATGAAATAATATAGATTGTCAAGAAGCATTGTTTCAACAACAAAATAATTAACTGAACACTTTTTTAGTTTTATGTTTAAGTAAAGAAAATAAATATTCTCTTGAGCTTCAAAGATAGTTTTATTTAGGATGTTTGGAATAAAAATTACCTCAAAAATGGCTCTTTTTTTTTTAAAGCTCCAGCAGGCGTGTCACAATAAACAATAAATCAATTAATCGCATGATAAATGAAAATTATCAACCTCATTTTCATTTATCGGCTTTATCGCTTCTTCGTGTCTCTCTCTTTCTACTGAAGACACTGGATGACAAGCTCAACTCCGGTGCTCTTCACTGACCCACACTTCCCTTTCTCTCTTCGCTTTAAAATCCATTTTAACCATAAGTCGAGAAGCTAAGCTATGAGCTAAGCTAACAGCTAAGCTAACCTTGGGAAAAAACCTTCGTCTTGTCGAAGCTCCGAAATTCATGGTTGAAACCCGTGCCTTCGTCTAAAAAGTTTTTCTCTGCAAAAAGAAGCTGAGAACTTGTTTAATTATTTTTTTTAATTAAAAGCTTTGTGAAAAATGCTATGCTAAAGAGCTCAATCCACAGTGAACATCTGTCATTTTGAGAACCGAAGAGAGACAGCCCATGTCACTTCGGGGCCTCCCTCCCATTTTTCTACTTGCTCCCATCCATCCTTCGGTTCAAAGTTTTATACTGCCATCCGGTGGTCAAAAAAAGCTACTACATGCAAAACAAATTAAATGTTTCTTCTGAAATTTGACAATAATTAATAATTATTGTCAAATTTCAATCAATATTATCGTTTATCACAATAATTTCTGAGACAATCGCCCAGCAAAATTTGTTATCGTGACAGGACTAAGCTCCAGTCCATTTAGACCTCTGTTCTGGGTCGTTCTACAGGAAACAACGGAAAGGCAGGTTTGTTTTGTCCTGACAATTCATTAAGCCTATTGCTGAGCATAAAATACCGTATTTTTCGGATTATAAGGCGCACTTAAAATCCTTTAATTTTCTCAAAAATCGAAAGTGAGTCTTTTAATCCGGTGCGCCATATGTATTAATTCTAGTTGTGCTTACTGACCTCAGACCGATTTTATGTGGTACACGGCGCTCAAAAATCTGTCAAAATGTTTTAGTTTCGCTTAATGCGCCTTATAATCCGGTGCGCCTTATAGTCCAAAAAATACGGTAACCATTTTGCTGATTTTGGTGAAACAAAAAGGACTTTTACAAAATGGTATCATCTAACAATGCACATAATCATGTTTCCAAAACAGGCTCTGCAATTCAAACAGTATAGGATTTTCCCAAAATGTTTAGCTTATTATTATTTTTTTTTTACTTTCTTCATTATGCCTTCTTCATTTCAGGAGCAGATTTTGTGCATCACAACTCACAGCAGCTGACCCGGGTTTATCCCACGGGCTTCCGAACGGACTCTTCAAACTTTAACCCTCAAGAAATGTGGAACGCTGGATGCCAAATTGGTGACTGCACCTGAATAATGCATGTGATTCACTTTAGAACAGGCCTTTTAGACAATATCAATCAGATAATTTGCATTAGTGCCACTATTAGTATTTTATTTCATTCTCATCAATTCAACAGTAATAGTTCTAGCTAAAACAATATAATACCCACCATCTTCATCTACCATCCAACGAGTTTCAACGTCTCAATCGACTCAGCCGATAGAGAGGTGGCTCAACGTCGTTTTTGGGCTAGAGTTGGACAAAAAAAGGCTAAACAAAACTCAACTAATGCTTTTGTTTCGACTAAATTAAGACAAATCAGAGAAGTCAGAACATCCCATAGAGCAAAATTTAGAACACGTATGAGCTACACGAAGTCAGACTTTCAGCATCTCTTTGTAAATAATTTGAATAAATTAGATAGTCTAAAAAAAGCTTAACCCTCAACATAATTTTTCAGCTAAAATTGTACATGTTAAAGAAGCTAGATGAAGTACAATTTTCCAAAACTTTTTACTTGCCTTCTTGAAATAGTCCTAACAAAAAGGTCCACTGAAACCTCCAAAGGTTTCTACACGATTCAACCCTTAAACAAGCCCTCTTAAAAGCTGACTTAAAGAAAATGGCAAAGAAAATATGCTTTTTATTTTTTATCATTGTGACAACAGATTAGAAGTCTATGGGAACACTTAAAAATAAACTACAATCAAATTGCCAACATTTTTCAGTTAGGTCATCTGGACAGTTTCTTTTTCTGTGCTGAAACGTTTCGCCTTCGATCCAGAAGGCTTCATCAGTCAAGGAAACACACAACACAAAACTGATTCTTCTACCAACAGCTTATTCCAAAGCGGAACAAACCAGTTATGTTGGTGCTAAGATGGTCTCCTTGTCACACCCCCTCCTTCATTTCCGGCCCTCTTCCTTGTTGACAGTCGTGCCAAACTGGTTGAAAACAATAAAGTCCATGCTCAATAATCCACATATACAATCCAACATTTTCAGTCAGGTCATCTGGACAGTTTCTTTTTTTTTTTGTGTTGAAACGTTTCGCCTTCGATCCAGAAGGCTTCGTCAGTCAATAATAACAATCAAATAACAATCAAATTTGCAACTTGATAGCTTAGAAACACCCCATTTTTTTAATAAAAAAGTGTGAATCGTGTCATCCGGGAAACATTTCTTCCGCCATCCAGAGGACTTCCTCAGTCTACGACCTACCAACCAGATCTGTTCCATAGGTAGCCTTCACTGCCGATGATAAAAACCACGATTCCATGATTGTTTTGGATGGGTGTGTTTTGCACATGCCTACTTTTGAGATTCCAACAGGAGGTTGCCTTGAAACAGCAGTGAACGCTACCAATGGGACAGATCTGGTTGGTAGACCGTAGACTGAGGAAGTCCTCTGGATGGGGATGAAACGTTTCTCACTTAAAGAACCTGGTCCAGATGACACAGTTTTAACATTTTTTGTTGTTAACTACCTGGATGATTGAGCTTACAACACTTTTACCCCATTGTTTTGTTTGTTCTAGTTTCAGTAAGATCCTTGGTGAAGATGGGATAGAGTATACAACATATTTGATCAAAACAACAGAAACAAATGTCCGAATAAACAAAATACCTCATTCTTTTTCTTCCAATCAGTTGCGCTGAACTTCCAGACAGCTGGTGAGGGTATGGATTTGAATGATGGCTTGTTCAGCCAGAATGGCGGATGCGGATACGTCCTGAAGCCCAGCTTTATGAGAGACCCTGAGAAAAGGTTTGACCCCGACATGCCACAACAACGCGACGACTACCAGCCTGTTGTCTTCACTGTCCAGGTAGAAACCACAGAGAAGGAAAAGGTTTTGGATTTTGTAACGAATTAGCTTCATAGAGTGTTTGGTTACTGCAGGTGATCAGCGGCCAGCAGTTGCCCAAAGTCAACATCAAGAAGGATTCTATTGTGGATCCTCTGGTCAGAGTGGAGATCCATGGGGTTCCAAAGGACCAGGCTAAGCAGGAGACCAGATACATCGACAACAATGGTATTAAGGAAGACCTTATCTTAAATCCTCAGTCAGGCAAAATTTAAATACTGAACAAAACTGTTGGCAGCAATGCAACACAGTATTCTTAACTATAATTTAAATTAAAGTAGTACTTAATACATTCTAAAAGGTTTTCTTTGTTGAACAGCCATGTTTCTAAGGTAACCCAGAATAGAAGGTGTTGCAAAGATTCAATATAGAAGCTAAAGATTTGTTCCATCCCAAATCTGAGATTTTCTTTTTCTTGTTTTTTTTTTTTTTTACAGGATTTAACCCTGTCTGGTATGACACGCTGCGCTTCACCATCCATACCCCTGAACTTACTATTGTGCGCTTTGTAGTAGAAGATTATGACAAGACGTCAAAGAACGACTTTGTGGGGCAATACACGCTCCCCCTCAGCTGTATGCAACAAGGTATGGTTGAGACGTGGTCTATATACGTATAACATTTTAATTATGAAAAGTCCAAATAAAGTCACCGACAATGATTTGGACATGCTTTGCTTCACATGCAGACCAGCGATGACGATGTAATGATTTGTAAGGAACTGGCAGATCTAGAACAGACACCAGAAAGGGGTGACATTGAGTGGAACAATAGTGTCATCAGATATAGTTACTAAAAAAAGATCACAACAAACACAGCCAAGGCCTTGTAGACACATTAGACAGCACTGTCCTCAATGTTGGAACTCATGAGTATCTAAAGGCACAAATACGTGTCAAGGTCCCATTCGCCCAAGACCAGCCAAGCCAAGGATGTATATTGTGCACCAAGCCTTATAGAACATCATGATATCTGTGTCTGCTATCTAAACACTGTAACTTGGAGGCATGGAAGGATGGTATAATGTTCGATGAACGATAAGTAAAGTGTTGCCGTGTCCACATTTCTTACTCTTCCTGAGACAGTACCCTGGTACAGTTGTTCCACAGGGCAACAACCGTCCACATATTGACTGTGTCTGTGGACTGTCTGCATCGCGTAAATGTCCTCCATTGGCCAACCAGGTTCCTTGATCCTTCCCCAATTGAATATGTCAAGCGTGAAATCAGCTCATATGTCAACTCTGACCCGGTGCCAATCTGTTGGACCTTGAGGACTGGGTACAACAGTTGTGGGTTGACTTACACCATTGGTTCCGTTGGTACACCAATTGTGTCCAACACCCTACCCCACTAGTTTCTTGTCTTTATTATTGAGATTTACTAAAGGTAATGGTATTACTGAATGGTTGTTGTGGACAAATTTACTACAAAACACATACTTGTTGTAGATTTAATGCCAGTAAAAAGTCAGTAAAACTACTTTCCTGTACCCTTAATTTATTGGTCTGGTTTTGTTTTTTCAGGTTATCGTCATATCCACCTTTTATCTAAAGATGGGACCAGTATTTCTCCTTCATCCTTGTTTGTACATGTCAGGATCACAAACCTGGAATAAACTTCTACTCACATAATGAAAAGGACACCACCAGCGCACATCCTATGTAGTAATGACCACTAGTTCATAGGAAAGAGTTTAAAATTATACTTGCTTGATGTAAATAACCACTGCGCCAAATGATTTAAGACATTAGATGTATGCGTTATCTGCATTGTTTGCCTTGTTCATGTAGTGTGTCTAGTTTGTGTGACGAGACTTGACTGTAACCCCTCATTTCTGGTTCACGATACAGTATTTTTATTCTGAACATTGTGTTTTAGAGGAGAATGTGCCACCACTTTTCCATCAGTATATAGTTTGTCAGTAACTTTCTCAACCAGCCGCATGTCATTGAAACTGTCTGCAACTCATAAAGCCTTGGAAAACTAAAGTCAGATGGGAACTTCAGCCTTTAGTCACAATACAATTCACCCTTTTGTGATGATACAATCCATCCGATATCTTTCACTTGTTCCATGGTCAGGTCATGGGGGCAGCAGCTTGAGCAAGGAGACTCAGACATCTCTTTCCACAGCCATCTCTTCCAGCTCTACTGGGAGGACTCATTCCCAGGCTAGCTGAGAGACATTCTCTCTAGTGTCTTCCTCGAGGTCTCCTCCTAGTTGGACATGCCCTGAAAACCTTCCTAGGGAGACGACTGGTGGTATACTTACCTGAATACAGTTATCATTTTGATTACTTGCATCCAAGATCTTGTTCTTTCCGACACTACACAGTGTTCGAAACCTTAGGGGAGGAACGTAAATTGACAGTAAACACAGAGTTTCACCGCACCTTCACCGCAACAGACCGGCCCAGCGATTGCAGTAATGCTGAAGCTGCACCTATTCGTTTGTCAATCTCACACTCCTTTCATCCCTCACTCCTTCACAGACGTTTGTTTTTGTTCATATTGCGATAAAACTCCATATGAGATTAATTCAATACATTGAAATTCAATGATTCTATGTTTGTTATTGAAACTATATATATATATATATATATAT